CCCCCCCGGGAGCATGTGGTGTGGCTGGGTGTTTATGGAGAGCAGCCACACCGCCTTCGGGAGGGGAGAATCTGCCTGGTCCAGGTGCTACTCAGTGCTGCAGCTCTGGGTGCTGCAGTGCTGTGCTGTCTCTCCAAATCTGATCATCCTCAACCATCGGCTGCTCGTCAGGTCCCTTCTCAACCTGTTGACATACACAGAAGGGCAAGCAGGGAAGCATCAGGCTTCACCCTTCCCTTCCTTGCCCAGAAATTCCTGAGTTCTTGGTATCTTCTGCTGGATGCTGTGTTGTTTTCGGGCCTACCCTGCTCGTTGCTGAGCACCCTCCATTCCCTCTGGGGTCAGCGGGAGCTCTGGACTCTTGAGGTCTTGCAGAGTGAGGGTTTCTATGAGTGTTTTTTCAGCAGAGTGAATGAGCCCCAGGTACTTTTAGGGCTCTGTCAAGATCCAGTAGCGGAGAGTCCCTGCCCTCTTTGCTGAGTAATCCCTGCTGTTTTGGCAGCCTTCCCCCGTGCTCATTCCCAGGGCAGGTAACGATCCCAGCCCTCCTTGGCTGGGGAGCTCTCACAGATGAGCCCGTTCCTGCTGGCTCAGCAGCACAGGAGCCCGAGAGGGAGCGAGGTGTCATTGCTCCCTGCCTCAAGGAGAGGTTGGCAGCCGCGGGGATAGCGGAAACATCGTGTCAGGGCTGTGTTGAAGGGGGTGGAGGGGTAGCACCACCAGCGGTGCTATTTTAGGCTGCCTGATTCACGGGGGAAGCCTGTCTAGGCCAGGCATCCCAGCTCTGCCTGCCCGTGCTTCTCCTTAGCATCTCTGCTGAATTTAGCTCTCTCCTCCGCAGGACGATGCGGGATCCCGGGCAATGAACAACCTCCGGAGGTCCAACAGCACCACCCAGGTCAACCAGCGGGTGAACAGCACCCACAGGTACAGCTTCAGCCACCGACACGTGTCCGTCTGTCCCCTGGGTGGGACTGGGTGAAACCCCACCTGTCTGTGGGTGAACAGCACCCACAGGTACAGCTCCAGCCACCGACACGTGTCTGTCTGTCCCCTGGGTGGGACTGGGTGAAACCCCACCTGTCTGTCTGACCTCTCTCATGCTGGGAGGGAACCCAGAGCCTTTCAAAAACATGCATTAAGCTCTGTCATACACATCGGGGGTTATAACCTGGCCTTGGAAAGCCAAGGACGGGGTTTTTGTTTGGTTTTTTTTTTGGAGGGGAAGTCACTTGATTAAGGTTTGGGGAAATAGAGTGTATTTCTGTGGCTCTGTCACAAAAGACACTCAGTTTAATTCCAAGTGACGTGACCATTCAATTACACCAGCCCCTCCTGGACCCTCCAGACCATAGCTGGACTGTGGTAGGAGAGAAAAAGTCCTTCTGTCTCCAGTGCCCTCCTAGGGCTGCCTCTGAATCATGATTTTCCGTCCTTTTGTTGCGCTGTGCTCATTCCTTTTTATATTCTATTTCTGCGTGTCAGGCTGAAATCTAAAGCTCTGCATAAAACCGAATCATTTGTGGATTTCATGGCTGTGGAAGGATTCTCTGTCCTTTTTCCCCTCTGTATTGCCATGGCAGGCGGTAGATGTGCCTCGGCTCTGTGTTGTCAGAGTGCCCTGCCGCGATCAGAGCGTGAAGCAGCCGGTGCAGGATGCGAACCCCACTGTCGCTGCCGCGTTGCCGCGTGTCTGCATGCAATATTAACTCCTGAACACGTGTTCTCTTCCTCCTCTCTGCCTTCCCTGGGTTGGGGCTAAAAGCTCAGAGCAGACGGGAGACTTCCTGACCTTCCTTGAGAGCGGTTCTGGGGGAAGAAAGAAGGCGGCGAGTCTGAGCAAAACCTCCCCGGAAAAGAAAACCACGTGGAACATCTTGGTGAGGACGGTGGCCTCCTGGGGTGGGTGGGTAAAATTTCCTCTGTCTGCCTGAGGGGTTGGCTGGGTTTGGTGGAGTGGGAGGGTTTCCTAAGACCCAAGGATCTGTGATGGCCAGGCTGGTCCTTCCTCAGTCTGTAGTCAAAGCTGGCGCAGTTTGAATGGCCAAAGTGCTCACCTGGTTCTCTAGCCTTGATGCTTGTCTGTGGGCCAGGGCTTTTGGCCCATCACCTCCGTGCTTCTGGTGGAGGCAAAGCCTCGAGCTGTGGAACAGAGGCTTCTTGTATGGGGGAGAAACTGGCTGGTGAAGGAAGAGGGTGGTGTTTGAGGACGTGGGGTTGGTGCTTTCCTACCCTTACTCCCGCTGGCTCTGTGACAGGACGATCAACCACGAGTGTTCCCGGGCCCCTCTGGCTCCCGTGGTGTTGAGCCACCAGTGGGCATGAGGAGGAAAGAAGCCACCGTGCTCCTGGCAGCCAACTTCACTGCCAACAACAGGTAGGAGTGGTGTTGGGAGGAACTACACTGAGAAAACACCTGGGCAGAGAAGGAGGGGGCCAGTGCTTGGCTTCTGTCAGGAAACGGGGAATAAGTGTGGGGCAAACTGATGGTGGTGTGCCAGGCTGGCCAGGACAGGCCTGGAAGCTCCACAGGAGCTTGATGTATGTGTGGGAGAGGCTGCTCTTGCTTTGGGAAAGAGTAAAATTTAAACCCTCCAGGGTTGGGAGAGACTTAAGCCAAGGTTGTGTGTAGAATAGCCTGAAGAGCAGGCTGTTAGGTCTGCTTGGGGTTGGTCTGTCTGTCTGTCTGTGTGTCAGGGAATGGCTCCCGAGGAGCAAGCTCTAGAGAGCTCCCCAATCACTTGTGAGAGCCCACCTGCTCCTTGCCTTGGGGACACTCTGGATATGGTCATGGTTGGGTTGAGGGTTGCAACACCGAGCATCTGTCGTCGGTGCACACCGTCCCTTTTGGATCCAGTGAGTCCCAACACCTTGTCTTCTCTCCACAACAGGAGCAACAAGGGCGCGATGGGCAACTGTGTCACCACCATGGTGCACAACAACTACTCCACCACCGAGAAGGGTCCTGCGCCCAAAAGCTCCAACCAGGCACCCAGCTCCCTCAAGTAAGTGTGGTGAGGTCCTGGCTCGGAGGCTGGGCTGACCCTGCACTCATGTGCTGATGGGGCAGGATGGTACCAAGTAGCTTCATCTTCTGCCTTAGCAACGTTGTCAAAGCCACCTCAAACGAGGACGGTGAAAGCAGCAGCTTTGTGAAATCTCAGAAGAATTTCTCCAGCAACAACATCATGACCCGCAACAACAACAGCAGCCTGCCCCGGAGGAAGGAGGTGACGGAGGAGGAGGCAGAGAGGTGAGGAGGAGCTGGTGGGAAGAGGGTGCCAGATGGAGGGGTGAGCTGCTGCAGGTCTGTTCTGTGTCCTGTGGGGCTCCAGATTTGGGAAGGGGCCCCTCTTTGTGCACTTTCAAGTGGCTTTTTACCCTTCCCGTGACTCGGTTCTGTGCTGAGAGTTGGCCTCATCAAAGGGACAAGTTCCTCCCACCCCAAAAGTCAGCTTGGGAAAGGGTCTTGTTGAGTCAGGGTGTGGGGGGACAGTGGTCCCGGTGTCCTGCTACGGCGGGACAGGGTGGTGCTGCCCAGCTGGTGGCCCAGGAGGACACGGGGTCCACGCTGACCCTCTCTCTCCCCCCAGGTTCATCCAGCGGGTGAATTTGGCCGCCGTCACCATCCAACGTTGGTACCGACGCCACTCGCAGCGGCGCAGGGCGGGAGCAGCGGCTCTGGAGCGCCTGCTGGCTTCCAAAAGAGAGGTCAGTCCTGTCCTTGGCCTCGTAGCACAGACCCTGGGGACACCCTGCTGTCCCCACTCGCCTCGCTGGCCAGGGATTTTGTGTCCCTTTAGTCACCAGACCCTCCAACCAAGACCTGAGGAGACCTTGGCTTTGCATCTAGCCAGCTCCTCGTGGTCAAGGGAGCCGGGGAGGGTCCTGTCCCTGCAGAGGTGTGTGGCCATGGAGGGGGAAGGATGGCTTTGGTTCCAGAGGGGGGTTCAGGCCAGGAGCCCCTGGGCTCAGCCCTGCACGGCCCTGGGAGCAGGCGGACGCGTGGCAGTAGCAGCCCAAATCCTGCTGAATTCTTATTGTCTCAGACACGCTCGTGGCCAGAGGAGGGATACCCTGTCTCGGCTCGTCGTAGCGAATCGGTAACGAGTGGCTCATTAGAGAGTGACGAGGCATCTGCAGCTATTTGTGTTTCTTTGTGTTTAATTATTTATCCCAATAACGAAGAGTGCCATAACTCTTGCATGTGACAGTCTATTTTTAAGCCTTGTCTCCTTGGTGGTTTCAGACCCAGATGACTAATAATTACGTTTAGTTTCTAAAGAAAATAAGCTGTTCTAAAGTGGAGCTTTTTTGGAGGACTCTTTACCTGCACGGAGGGGAGGATTGGGGGGATGGAAAGCCTGGGTATGGGGTGACCTGAGGTGTGGTGTGCCCTTTCCTTTTCTGCTGTGGGTGGTGGGTGCTGGAGAGCTCTCAGTAACGTTCTGACCCTCCTCTCTGGAAGGAAAGGCAGCAACGGATGGAGGAAGGGAATATCCTGGATTTGCTTGAGAAAAAGGATGAGGAACGGCGGAAGATCCGAGAGGAGAAGGCGCGTCTGGCCCGCCGTGCTGCCATCCAGGTAGGGACAGGGCAAGGCCTGCTGGAGACCAGCTTGTTGGCATCTTCTTGTGAGGCAGCCACAGGGCCTCTCTTCTGCGTCTCTTGGGGCTTTGCGTGGAGCAGAGTTAGAGCCAGCCTTGGAAATGGAGTGCTCCCCGTGGACACGGAGGTGCCATGGAGCGGTTTTCCGTTGTGCTCCTGCCAAGCCCTGGCAGCTCCTCCGGCACTTGCGAAGACGGGGCTGATTTCGATCTAGTTCTCGGGGAAAGGGTGACCACGTTGAAACAGGGAGACTGGAGCTGCAGCTCCTCGGAGTGACCGAGGATGAGAGTGCCCTGGGAAGGGGGACCCTCCTCGGGAAGGGGGACCCTCCAGGGTGGGCAGGAAGCACCTCGTCGTCTTCACCCTGTTCTTGCAGCTCCCTCTGCTCCTGGGGCACAGACGAGGGGCTGGCACAGACTATGGGGAGTTGCGTGTTGGCTTGCAGTGTAACTGAAGAATTTTTTTTAAAGCCCCAATTTCTCTTTGCCCTAAATGGAATCGTGTTTCATTGGAGGGGTGTCAGGGAGACACAGCAGTGAGCAGCAGGAGGACGGCAAAACGCTGCAACAGCCTTGAGAGCACGTGTTTGTGCCTTAAGTGACTTTCCAAACCTTGGCTAAGGCAGCCCCCCTGGGCACTGTGGCATCGCTGCGCTGTGCGGTGCTCGGCCCAGAGGATTTGGAGGCCCTTTATGGAGCAGCAAAGGACACTGCACAGGGACATGTGAGCAGGTCCTGTTCACACGTGGAGCTGGCAAGACCCTGGCGACCACCTCCCCTCTGCTCAGAGCAGCACAGAGCAGAGCTGTTGTTCCTGTGCCTTCCCTTTCCCTAGGGTTGTCCCTGTTGACCCTTCAGCAGCACGTTTGTGGGTTGTTGCTGTCTCTCAGGCCCTTGTTAAACACTTAAAGCAGTGCAGGTATATGGTAAAGCACACTCTGTGCTGGGCCAGGATGCTGATGGCTTGTCTGTCCCTACAGGAACTGCACCAGAAAAGGGCCCAAAAGGCTTTGGACGCAAAGCGGTTGGCAGAAGAAGAGCTTGCGCTGGTGAAGGAGAGCAGAAGGGTAGCAAAGAAGAAGCCTGCCAAACCTGCTTCTGCAAGGAACCTCAGTCCAGCCAGCAGTGTCACCAAAGCCAATAACGCTGGTGAGTCCCCTCTGCAGGTCACTGATGCTTTTGGAGCAGAGTGTGACGTGAGGGAGGAGGAGGAGGATGGAGGAGCGGTTCTCGCTCTGGGGAGCTGCTTTGAAGGGGCTGGTGGTTGTAGCAAGTGCCTGAGAACAGTCTGGTTCCTGCAGAGGCCAATTTCCACCCAGTAGCTGCGGAGCCAGAAGAAAGTGGCCTTGCAGACCCCAGCTCTGTGCCCTCACGGGACCCCGGGGCAGAGGATGAACTGCAGGTGAGTCTGGCTTTACCTCATGGGGCTTCTGGCCGGGGTGGTTTGGAGCCTTTGTTGACTCCTGGGGAGATCCGTTACACACTTGTGCTGCAAAGTAAGTTGTCTTCTCCTCTAGGACGTGAGCTCCAGAGAGACGGGTGGTGAGGATCTGGAGACGGTGGTGACTGCTGTCAGCAGGGCTCAGTCCAAGGTCACCCTCAATGAGCTGCTGGACACGCTCAGGCTGTTGGAAGAAGAGCCAGAGCTGCTGCCCCCACCGAAGCTCTTCAAGAAGGACAGATATGCCTGGGTAGACGGGGTAAGCAGAGGGATGAGGCTGGTTGCATCCACCCTCAGACAGCGACGGCTGCCTGGTCAGAGCAGGTTCTCCTGGGCTGTCTTCTCCCAGTACTTGCTGGGTGGTGGAGGGTGAGACCAGTACCAACACTGGTACTGGTTCACTGCCAGAGAAGGCAGCAGAGGGGTTTGGTGCAGCCAGGGCTTGGGCATCCACAAGGAGGAACAAAACCATGTGAGGGCTGTGGTGGGAGTGGGGTCAGCCCAGGGGATCAGGGCTGGTTACTGGGGTGCAGTGGGAGGACTGGGCTGCAGTGATGGAGAAGAGCCAGCACCTCTTCCTCCCGAGCCTTCCCCTGGGTGCTCATTCGCAGCTGTGTCTGCCCCAGCAGGAACCCAGCTCCAATTCCCTGACTGCTGATAACTTGGAGAAGTTTGGGAAACTGAACCACTCCCCGGGGGTCCCCGAGGATGGGGCCCTGCTCTCGGAGGCCAAGCTCCAAAGCATCATCAGTTTCCTGGATGAGATGGAGAAGTCGGAACAGGAGAGGCCCAGATCAGCTGCCTCGGCCACGCAGCGGGAGGTGAGTCCTGAAGTGAGAGGTGATGCAAGACCCTGATGGGAAGGGTCTCTCCTCTCCTTGTCCTGGTTCCAGGTGGTCCTTTTGACCTTTTAATCGTATTTTTTCCCCGCTGTGGCAGGGTCTCCTCTCGGAAGAGGAGCTGGCTCACTTGGAGCACGCCTCGGCTGTTGCCACGGAGGTCACCAGCTCCATCATGAGGCTGAAGCTGGAAGTGGAGGAGAAGAAGCGAGCCATCAGCCTGCTGCAGACAGCCCTGGTGGGTGAGCCACACGTGCTTGTTTGCTGGGGAATGAAGACCAAGAGCCCTCAGCAGATGTTTCTGGGGGCAGTGCCTTTGAAGCACAGGATCAGGGCTCTGCAAATAGGGCTTCCCATCTGTGTCCCCAGTAATAAAGTGCAACGTTCCTGGAGCCAGTGGCTGCCAGACACACCACAGTCACTGTTAGCAGGGGAAAAGCCTGCAAGGTCCTTCCCAGTCTGGTGTGGGTTTCGCTCAGATTGCTCCTTGCTGCCCCTGTGATTTGAAAGGCATCCTCAGTGGTGCCTGGCGGATCCAGAAACCCTTGGTCAGGACCTGGACTGGACTGTCTTTTCCACTGTCCCATGGGGGATTTGGGTGTTCCTGTCAGGGCAGGAGGCCTGAGAACCAGGGACTTGGGTTTAGCTCTGTTCCTCCTTGTCTGGCCCAGGTGGGAAGGGTCTCCCCTCTCCTTGTCCTGGTTCCAGGTAGTCCTTTTGACCTTTTAATCCTTTTTTTTTTGTCCTGCTGTGGCAGGGTCTCCTCTCGGAAGAGGAGCTGGCTCACTTGGAGCACGCCTCGGCTGTTGCCACGGAGGTCACCAGCTCCATCATGAGGCTGAAGCTGGAAGTGGAGGAGAAGAAGCGAGCCATCAGCCTGCTGCAGACAGCCCTGGTGGGTGAGCCACACGTGCTTGTTTGCTGGGGAATGAAGACCAAGAGCCCTCAGCAGATGTTTCTGGGGGCAGTGCCTTTGAAGCACAAGATCTGGGCTCTGCAAATAGGGCTTCCCATCTGTGTCCCCAGTAATAAAGTGCAGCGTTCCTGGAGCCAGTGGCTGCCAGACACACCACAGTCACTGTTAGCAGGGGAAAAGCTGCAAGGTCCTTCCCAGTCTGGTGTGGGTTTCGCTCAGATTGCTCCTTGCTGCCCCTGTGATTTGAAAGGCATCCTCAGTGGTGCCTGGCGGATCCAGAAACCCTTGGTCAGGACCTGGACTGGCCTGTCTTTTCCACTGTCCCATGGGGGATTTGGGTGTTCCTGTCAGGGCAGGAGGCCTGAGAACCAGGGACTTGGGTTTAGCTCTGTTCCTCCTTGTCTGGCCCAACAGTGTCTTCCCAGTTGGGTAGTTCCCTCCTGTACACATGGTAACAGTGTCTTCCCAGTTGGGTAGTTCCCTCCTGTACACATGGTGGAGCTGGTGTAACTTCTTCCTCTTAATGTCTTGTGTCTATCTCTTCCCTACACCCAAAAGGCTCAGCAGAGGGAACTGACTGTCCGGCACGTCAAACAGACCGAGGAGGAGCTTGGCCACCAGCTCAGGCTACAGAGGGAGCAGTATGAGGCAGCTATCCAGAGGCATCTGACCTTCATCGACCAGGTGATCTCTCATCTCAACTCAGACTGATGCTTCTGAAGCCAGAATTGGAGGTTGCTCTATCCTGCCTGGCTGCCCCCGTGCCTTTTCTTCACCCTGCCCAGCTCATCGATGACAAGAAGGCGCTGAGTGAGAAGTGTGAGGCCGTGGTAGCGGAGCTGAAACAAGTGGACCAGAAGTATGGCAAGAAGATCACCCAGATGCAGGAGCAGCACGAGCTGGTGAGGGGATAGGGAAGGTGGGAGGGCTGGGAGAGGAGTCGTGCTGTGGCCAGAGTTGGTTGGTTTTGCTCAAATGGTGCCTCTGCCCAGAGCAGTATGGTCTCTCTCACCTTGGTGGGGCCCAGTCGTTCTGGGGAGCCATTCTTGGTGCACAGAAGGTCTGTGTCACCTGTGGAGCTTTGCCCTGGCTCCCCAAGTGGTTGCTGTCCTCTGCTGTCCAAAGCCACGTGCCTGGGACTGACCAAGAGACAGAGCCAGCTCCTGGGGGCTCTGCTCAGAAGGACCCTTCCCACACACCCTGCTGTCACCAGAGCTCTTCCCTGGCTGGGGGGTGACTGGAGGATCCTGCTTCTGCAGAGGGGAAAGCAGGCGCTGGCACAAACCTGAGGAATTTGTACTTGTGGCCATGTCCTCCTGAGCTGGGTGACTTCCAGCCCCCTTTGCAGGAGCGGGGATGCTCTCAGGGCTAAACGGGGACAAGATTATAAAGGAACATGGAATGTATAAGCAATAACAACTGCCCTCGGTGGGTTTTGCTGGGCTGTTGCCCTGACCAGCACCCAAACACATCGAGGGTGTACTGCCTGCTGGTGGGGGCTGGCTGGGGGCTTCCCTGGGGACTGTGCAGAGAGCTCCCTCTCCTGCAGACGGGGATGGCTCGGCTCACCCTGTGCCAGGCCTGGCAGGGGGGCAGCACCACTGGCTCATAGCTTGGCCACGGGGCTCATCCTGGCCCTGGACCCTGGTCCCTGCTCGCCCTTGGCCTTGCAGCCAAGCTCATGCCCAGGGCTCTGGAGCGGGGCGGGTGTTTGGGCCAGTTTGAGCCTGTGCAGACAGAGATACCCTCCTGCAAACAAAGCGAAGGCTCGCTTGGCTCGCTGTGCCCGAGGTTTGAGCCCAGCTTGGGAGGAAGAAGCCAGTGCAATGTCGCTGTGCTTGGTGCCTGGAGGGGCCCCTTCCCGTGGAGGGATGGGGCTGGTTTTGCTGCTGCGGCCGGCGCGGGGCAGCAGCAGTGGGGAACAGCCCAGGAGCCAGGCTCTGCTCTGTGGCCCCTTCGTTGTCCCTGTTCCCAGCTCTGCCATCCCTGCTTCCTGCACGTGATGGGGGATGTTTGTCCCCGTGGGGGTCCCCTGGTCACCAGAGCAGGTCCCCACCCGTGTGGGAGCCCATGTCCCTGAGCTGTGATTGATGGTGGTGCTGCCAGGCCCGTGGCACATCTGTGTAACTGCCCGGTCGGGCTGTGCCCCCCTCACTCCCTGCCCCTCTGTCTCCCCTCTCCCTGGCTCCCACGTGCACTCAGCTGTTTGGTTTTGCCTCTCCCCTCTCCCCCGTGACTGCCATTCCCCTTCTCTCTCCATCCCCTCCTTTCTTTCTCCCCAGGTCTGGCGCACTTTGGGCCCCTTTTGCGAGGTAAATGTGGTCTTTGCTCTTTTGGGGTTTTTTGTGCCTTGCCCTTCTGCTCTCGTGCCCTGACCTGCTCTGGCTCCACAGGGCCCGCAGGCAGCGGGGCTGGGCTGGGAGCTCCCCACTTGGCAGCAGGGACACCCCTGTGAAGCAGCCCCTTCACCCCATCTCCCCAGGCCACGGTCTCAGCTCCTGCCTTCAGGCTGTCCCCATCTTCCCGTGATGATTTTCCTCCCCTCTTTGTCCCCTTAAGAGCTAGTCCCAGGTTGTGCAGGCAGCCCCCAGCCACTCCCCACCTCCTCTTTGCTTCTCCTCTGGAGCTGTGACATGTCCCCACCTCCTGCACGTGGTTATCATCTGCCCGTGCCAAAACGGAGCCATTTGTGGCCAGGCTGGGCTCTCTGTTGGCCAGTGCATTTCTCACCCAAAACCCCAGCACTGAAGTATGTGTCTGAGTGCTTTTGCCGATGGGAGAGCTGGGAAGAGCTCTGTGGGCAGCAGGGCCTGGGTGTTTCTCCAGCTTTTCTGCTGGAGAGGAGGGTGGAGGAGGTAAACACAGGCAGGGGAGGAAGCAAGAGCAGCAGCTTTGCAGTCTCCGAGTCTTTGAAGAGTTGTGGGGTGCTGCAGGAGCCTGGGCTGCAGTGGTACCACAGTGTTGTCTGTCTGTCTGTCCTCCTGCTGGAGGGTCTTCCATGCCAGGGAGAGGGAAGGCTGGAGAAGAAAACAGCTTCACACATGACCCCATGTCCCTGACAGATGGACTGACATACACGCAAGGACCAGCAGCAGCCCCAGTTCCCTCTGCTTTCTGAGGGTGCTCTCATGTCTCAGCCAGCCAGTGCTTTCCCATGGGTTTTGCTCTTTTCTCCCCCAAGCTCAAGGTCTGTGGGGCAGCAGCAGCCCCATCCCGTGAGAGAGAGGAGAAGGCACTGGGAGAACATACAGCTGCTTCTCCAGACTGGGAGAACGTGCTTGGCTGGGGCTGTGAGAGTTCTCTGTGCTCAGCTCTGACCGTCTGCTCTTCCCTGCATCTTCCTTCTCAGCAGCCAGGCTCCCAGGCTGACAGGGGTCTTCTCCCCTGGCTTCTCCCTGAAGTTTTCCCCTTTGCTTCCAAACAGGAGATCAAGAAACTGAAGGAACTGATGAGCGCAGCCGAGAAAATCAAGCGGGAGAAGTGGATTGATGAGAAAACCAAAAAGATCAAAGAAATCACCGTGAAAGGTACAGGCCACGCTCCCTCGGCGGTGGTTTGAGTTGGGCTGGTCCAGGAGAGGGATGTATCTGCAGGAGCTGCTCAGCGAGGGCAGTCTCTGCTCCCTCTGTTTGGTAGAGGCAGATGCTGGAGGGCAAGAAAGAGGGCAAGAAAGCCTGTGCATGCTCACCCCCTGTCTCTTACCAGCCCCTCTTTGCTAGTTGATATGCTGGTAGCCTCCTCGCCAGCTGCCCAGGGCTGAGGGCACTGGTGTTGGGGTCAGGAGAGCCCCAAGGCCAAGCATTAACTGTTCTTCCCATTGCCCCAGGGCTGGAGCCGGAGATCCAGAAGCTCATTGCCAAGCACAAACAGGACATCAAGAAGCTGAAGATGCTTCACGAGGCCGAGCTGCTGCAGTCGGACGAGCGGGCCGCCCAGCGCTACGGCCGGCAGGCGGAGGAGCTGCGGGACCTGCTGGAGAGGGAGAAGGAGGAGCAGAGCCAGCGGGAGAGGGAGCTGGCCCGGCAGCGGTGCGTCCTCACGGGGGGGAAGGCCTGAGGGTGATTTTTGGGGTTCATGACACGGGGGTGTCCACCACCCACGTGCCAGCGGGTTCGCAGTATTCACAGCAGTTAATATCCACGGGGAGCAGCCCCTTTCTCTCCACCAGCCTGAGGTGGGAGATGCTGTGGTGAACTAAGGGCATCCTCCAGAGTCGGACCAGCCCCTGGGTGGCCCTGGGGAGGGATGGGGCAGGGTGGAGGGGGATGAAAGCCCCAAACCAAGCACACTCTGCCCCGCAGGTGTGAGCAGCAGCTGGAGCAGGAGGAGCAGGCCCTGCAGCAGCAGCGACGCCGGCTCTACGCAGAGGTGGCCGAGGAGAAGGAGAGGCTCAGCCAGCAAGCAGCCAGGTGAGAGGGCTAGCAGCCAGGCCCTCGTGGTGGCCAGGGGCTGGAAGGCACCCTTGAGCTGGAATGTGGTGGGGCTGGTGCTCCAGGGGGGAGCAGCCCGAGGAGGGGGTGGCGAGGCTGGGCCAGCACCGACATCGGGAGCTGCGGTGTGTGCGGGCAGGCAGAGAGCAGAGGCAGAGGAGCTGCGGCGGCAGCTGGAGGCCAGCAGCTCGGCCGTCACCAGGGCACTGAAGGAGGAGTACACAAAGGAGAAGGAGGAGCAGGAGAGGCGGCATCAGGTTCGGGTTTTCCCCTCGCTTCTGGGCCCTGGATTGCCATTTTGGGGTGTGAGCAGTCCAGTCCCCCAGCACGTGGCTGCGGTGGCTGGTGCTGGCACCACTGAGCCCTGTATCCCACTGGGGCTGCTGGAGCTGAGGGTTTGTCTTCTCGTCTCCCACAGGCAGAAGTGAAGGCGCTGAAGGAGCGGCTGGAGATGGAGAAACAGGCCTGGGAGGCGAACTACGTGAAGAAGGAGGTACCAGCAAGGGCTGCCCTGCTCCAAAGGGTGCCACCCTCAGCCTTGGGGAGCGATCGAGGCAACATTTGCCATCTCTCCCCAGGAAGCCTGGCTGCTCTCCCGGGAACGGGAGCTGCGGGAGGAGATGAGGAAGGAGAGAGACAAAGAGATCGAGTTGGTGATCCAGCGCCTGGAGGCTGACATGTCCTCGGCCAAGGAGGAGTGTGAGAGGGCAGCAGAGAACAGGTAGAGGGGGAGGAGGGAGCCTGTGAGTCCCAGCTCCTCATGGGCTGGTCCCCGTCCCCTAAACCCTGTGGTCTCTCCAGTGAGCTCTGGATGCTGCAGCTTGTGGCTGTGAGCAGCGTTAGTGCAGGGGTGAAGTTTACCTCTCACTGAGGAAACAGCTGTGGGTCTCCCGTGGGGCAGATAGATCCCTCCCTTCCTGCTGTGTCGTGGACCTTCCTGCAGCACGAAGGTGGCTGGGGATGGTCCCCACTGAGCCAGGCTACCTGTGCTTCCCTCCCGTTAGGATTAAGAGGATCCGAGACAAGTACGAGGTGGAGCTGCAGGAGCTGGAGAGGTCTGAGCGGAAGCTGCAGGAGCGCTGCAACGAGCTGAAGGGGCGGCTGGCGGAGCTGGAGGGCGAGAGCATCCGTCTGCAGGGCCTGCTGAAGCACAAGGAGCAGGAGGTGGAGGAGATCCAGAAGGTGGGTGAGCTCCCCCTGCTCCATGCCCTGCGTTTCTCTGTCCCCCTCCATCGCCTCGTGCCCCTCTGTGCCTTGATGTCACCTCCTTGCCCTCCTGCAGGTGAGGGACCAGCTGGTCCAGGAGCGGAGCGGCCTGGCAGAAGTGATCCGGCAGGAGTTCACCGACAGGCTGGTGGGGACACAGGAGGAGAACAAGCAGCTGAAGGCAGAGATGGTGGCCATGAGGGCCCGGCAGCGCCTGGAGCTGGACAGGGTAGTGCGGGAGAAGGACAAAGAGCTGGAGGAGGTTCACAGGAGGTGAGGCTGCCTGGGCACAGAGCTGGGGCTGTGGGCACAAAGCTGGCCTGGGGGGCATTGTGTCCACAGTGCTGCATCCTCAGGCATGGCTTCCAGTCCTGCCAGGGTGAAATGGGCAGCAGAGTCTCACGCGAGGCTGGCTGCCTGCTCAGCTGCTGTGAATCCGCTGGCCTGTGTGACTTGTAGCCTCTTGTGTCATCCTGTCCCCAGGGCTGCTCCCTTGCATGCCCAGGGTGGGCAGCTGGAGCCGTGTCAGGGCTGCTGCCAGGAGGGACCAGGGGTGCCCAGCTCCATCTGCGGTGCCTCCCTGGCACCGTGGAGGTTGAGGGCAGCTTGACATCCCCAAAATGTGCTGGGGAACCCCAGCTGCCGGCTTCACAGCACCCCAAAACCTGGTTTGCAGGGAGCAGGGGCTGTGGTTGTCCTCGGAGCTCTGCAGGGCTGTGCTGTGGGGCTCAGCTCCATCCTGTGCTCAGTGGGGAGCTGGTGCAGGCTCAGCTTCAGGCAGGGATGTGAGGCTTCCTCTTCCCTGGAGTCTGCCTGCGGGGGAGGCATTTTGCAAGTGAAAGGAGAATGAGAAGGGGAAATGAATTGTCCCCCTGCGGGAGTTCTTTCTGTGTGGGGCAGTGCCCTGTTTGAAGGGCTCCCGTGTGGGGCAGAGCCGTCCCTCCTGTGGGGGTCTCTACAGGGCTGCTCACCCCCAGCTGTAACAAGAGGCTGTTGTTTGAGCAAAAGGAGCTTGCTGACTTTCCTGGATCCTGCTGAGCGATTCCCACTCACTCTGAGAGCCAGGATCACTCCCTGAGTATGAGATAACCAGGATCCCCTTTCCCCTTCCGTCCCTTACGTGCAGCCTGGCAGAGGTTGAAACACAGAAGGTCTGGTGCTCTGAGAGCTCTGTGGGGAAGAGTCCAGCCACGAGGCAGCAACCGTGGGCTCGAGAAATGCGAAGAAACTTAAGATCCCCTCCCTGTGGTCCTGTTAATTAATTAAGTCTTGTGAAGCTCATGTCCCCTTCTTCCTGTAGCTGACTCCATCCAAACTACATAATGCTCAGCAAGGGAATAAAGGTGCTTTCAGTGTGTAATGGCACCCAGAGACCAGAGCTGATGCTTTCTGGCTTCTTGTGGTGCTCTGGGTGGGGGGAGAGGGGCTGAAATTGTCCCCCCAAGGGCATGGGGGCCAGCCTGGTGTTTGGGGCTGGGGTCCTCAGTGTCTCTGTCTGTTCAGGGTGAAGACAGCGGTGGCGAGGAAGGAGGAGAGCGTGAGCAGCCTTCGGAAGCAGTACGAGGTGAGTGAGGGGGGGCAGCCAGCTCTGACCCCCCCAGACCCCTTGGGGGGCTGCGGTTCTGCCCCGGGGGGCAACCAGCTCTGCCTCCCCTCTGCTCTCTCGCAGGCGGCCGTGCAGAGGGCAGAGCACCTGGAAGCCCTGCTGGAGCAGCAGCGAAAGCAGCTGCTGGCCAACAACTGACCGTGCTGCTGGGGGGGCTGGGGGGGGAGCAGACACCCCTGAAGGTGGGACTGGGGTCAGGCTCTCCCTGCCCCCCCTCCTCTGCCCTGATTTTTCACATCCTGGTCCTGGTGCCGTGGGCCCTGACGGGGGGCTCTCAGTGGTTGGGTTTTAGCAATAAATCTGCGCTGGTTTCTACATCCTGTGCTGTCTGTGTCCCCTGGGGGAAAGTGGGGGGGTCTCTGTCCCACCACTGGCATCCACCACTTCTTTCTCTTTGCTGGTGGATTTGTCCCTCCCCATGTGTATCGGTGCTGGGGCATGAGCTGCTCTTCCTTGTGGTGTGAACCCTCCTGACCTGACCCCGTGTTCCTGCATCCCCTGACCTTCCCTGTGGTGAGACCCGCAGGGTCATGGCTGAGCTGGGGGACAGAAACCTCTTCTCAGGAGGAGATTTTTAGGTTGGGGGCTGTGCTGAGCCCCCCCCATTCCCACCACGGGCGAGGGATGGATGGAGGTGGGCGCTGTCACCTCTCAGCCAGAGCATGTGGGTGCTCTCAGAGAGTGCCCAGCTCCTTCTTCTAAAACAAAATACCTGGGATGGTGTGGGGAGGCACGGCCCGGGCAGGATGAGATCCTGCAGCCTCTGGTACCTGCAAATCTCTCAGCACCCCCAAATCTCTCAGCACCCCCTGACAGCGACGGGAAGTGCCTGGGCCGGGCCGGCGGCATCTGTTTCCTCTCGGCAGGGAGCGTGTGACTGCTCCTCTGCAGCCCTTTCCCTCCCCTTCTCCCTCCGAGGAGACCAGGGCTCGGTGCAGGGACAAGCAGATGTTTGCACATCCCGAATCCCGGGGTGTTTCCCCCCCCTCCTGCCCTCGGCTGGTGGGCAGTGGGACATGGCAGCGCTGCCAGAGCCCCCTTCTTTCCGGGGAGAAGCACTTGGGGAGATCCCACCATGATGTGGAGCTGCAGGGAGAGGGGTTCAGCTGCTTTTTGGCACCAGCATTTGTCTTGGTGTGGCCTCCTGGCTGTGGCTCCCTGGGGGATGCCATCCCAAGGCCCCCATGGATGCCACGGACCCACAAAAGCCCCTTACCCTGCCCGTGGTGGGGAACATGAGGGGCTTCTCCAGCCCCGGGGTGCTGCTGGCTGGGGCAGAGGGTGGCCAGGTCCTTTTCCCTTCCCTGAGCTGCCCCTCTGGTCCCTCGGAACAAGCCGTGAGGGTGGGGGGAGGAGGGCACAGCCCCCTTTTGCCGGGAAAGGCCGGGCACTGGGTTTGTTTTCATTGTTGTTGCTTTTTTAACCACCGTTTCCTGAGCGTCGCTTCCGTCCTCCGCCCTGCGCAGCCTCCGCTTGGGCCACCCCCAGCCTCCTGCCCCGGTGGGTGCTGCAACCTGCTGCCCTTAAATTAATTAATCACACAAAATCTGACCTGGGAGCAGAGAGGATCAGCCCCACTCCCTGCCCATCCTGGGGGGCTTGTGCCCATCCCCAGCCCCGTTGACCCATGTGTAGGGATGGCAGCACCCTGTGCCCGGTCTGGCATCACTGCTGTGGGGTGGGCACCCTCCTCCCCTCCCCCAGGTGCCCCCTGTGCCCTCAGTCTCCCCCGGGGGGGCTCCATCCTTTGGTATCTTCCCAGCCCTGCCCCTCCCCGCCATCGCCCAGCCTAATTTCTAGGCCAGTGCCCGGTTCAGCCATGAATAAATCAGCACCGTTGCATAAGCAGGGATGCAGATTTTCCCCGGGTGGCTGCCTGTGCCCTGCTGCTGCTGTGCCACCGCCGGACCCCCACCTCCCCACACCTTGGAGGGGGGGGTCCCCTGGGATAGGGACCCTCAGCCACGTGGCACAAGCACTGTCCCTGCCAGATCCCCAGCCCCGTTGACCCATGTGTAGGGATGGCAGCACCCTGTGCCCGGTCTGGCATCACTGCTGTGGGGTGGGCACCCTCCTCCCCTCCCCCAGGTGCCCCCTGTGCCCTCAGTCTCCCCCGGGGGGGCTCCATCCTTTGGTATCTTCCCAGCCCTGCCCCTCCCCGCCATCGCCCAGCCTAATTTCTAGGCCAGTGCCCGGTTCAGCCATGAATAAATCAGCACCGTTGCATAAGCAGGGATGCAGATTTTCCCCGGGTGGCTGCCTGTGCCCTGCTGCTGCTGTGCCACCGCCGGACCCCCACCTCCCCACACCTTGGAGGGGGGGGTCCCCTGGGATAGGGACCCTCAGCCACGTGGCACAAGCACTGTCCCTGCCGGCCGAGGCTGCCGGTGGCCATGTGGCTGTCACGGGCTTTACCAAAGATCCCTAATTAAGGAATCAGCCGAGGCTGCCGGTGGCCGTGCGGCTGTCACAGGCTTTACCAAAGATCCCTAATTAAGGAACCCCCCCCTCTCTTTCCCTCCCCTGGGATTAGGGGGGATGAGCGGAGCCCGTTGCCTGCCAGGGAGCCCCAGCGCCGTGCCGGGAAGGAGGTCAGGAGCACAGGGTGCTTTTGGCAGCCGCTGCGCGGAGATCGTGGCTCAATCTGGTGTCTGCCCGGCGGGGGGATTAGCTGCTGCCCCAGACAAATCAGCCCAGAAGCCGGAGCGAGTTGGCAGGATCCGTGCGGGGTAATCTCCCCTGCTAATTGGGGCCAGCGTGCTGCTCCCCTGCCCCACACGCTGCTGGGCTGAGGAGGGGACGCTGGTCCCGTTGGTGCCATGATGCCCCTCTTGCCGGGTGCAGGGCTCTGCCCGCAGTGGGACAGTCCCCACCACTCAGGGCTGCACCCCAAGTGGTGCCTGGGAGGGGGGGGTTGGTCCTTGCTGGGGTTTTTGGCCTCAATTCTGCTTTGGGATCTTCTCTTTTGTGGCTGTGCCAGGAAACTGCGAGGAACAGGGGAGAGGGGAGGGTGGTTGGGGCTTGGGGTAGGCGCAGGGGGGGTGGTGGGTCAATCCCCATCCCATCCCACCCTGGACATGGGCTGTGCTGGGCTCCTCCATGCTGGGAGAGAAGGGATGCTGGGCCCTGGGGCTGCCTCCACAAGGAGCTTCCCTGGCACCCCCAAAAATCCAGCAGCCGGGTGATTTCATCCCCTCCCACTCACCGAAGCCACCTCTGCCCCTGCCCAGCAGCAGGAAGGCCTCGAGCTCATCCTCCTCCCTCCTTGGGCCTGGCTGTGTGTGCTCCAGGGTGCCCAGGACCGGTGGGTGCCCGGGGGGGGGCTGCGGGACGGGTGGGTGGGTGCCAGGGAGGGCTCTGCGCAGCCGCCCACCCCCGCCTGCATCCAGCCTCGCCGTGACTCAGCCGGTGCCAGCTCAGCCACAGGAGAGGAGGGGGGTTCACCATCCAAATCCCCCCCGTGGCACGTGGCTGCCCCCTCCCCACGGCACCACGGCTGCTCCGGCGGGGGCAGATACCACCGCAGCTCTGAGAGAGCCCAAATTCCCCCCTCTCCCCCCCAGATACCAGGGTTTACTTGCCTGTTTTGATGCCTGGGAAGGTGCAGGGGGGGAGTTGGGGGGAGAGCTCCAAGAGAGCCCAAATTCCCCCCTCTCCCCCCCAGATACCAGGGTTTACTTGCCTGTTTTGATGCCTGGGAAGGTGCAGGGGGGGAGTTGGGGGGAGAGCTCCAAGAGAGCCCAAATTCCCCCCTCTCCCCCCCAGATACCAGGGTTTACTTGCCTGTTTTGATGCCTGGGAAGGTGCAGGGGGGGAGTTGGGGGGAGAGCTCCAAGAGAGCCCAAATTCCCCCCTCTCCCCCCCAGATACCAGGGTTTACTTGCCTGTTTTGATGCCTGGGAAGGTGCAGGGGGGGAGTTGGGGGGAGAGCTCCAAGAGAGCCCAAATTCCCCCTTCTCCCTCCCAGATGCCAGGGTTTACTTGCCTGTTTTGAGGCCTGGGAAGGCATAGGGGGGGGCTTGGGGGGTTCCAGGCTGCGATGGGGTAGTGGCCACTTGGGGACATGGCCAGGAAGGACCAGAGACCTGGGGGGTGGCTAATGGGGGGGGGCTCCCATGGGCTGTGCCCCAGCCGGGGTGCACTAAAAGCAAAATGGGTGATGGGGAGGGGGTGTCACTGGTCCCCCCCTACCCCTCAGGGAGGGACCTTGGTGCCACGGGGGTGTGAGCTGCTCGGGAGCAGCGGAATGTGGAGGCTCCTCGGGAGCAGGGAGCTGGCTCCGGTTGTCGGGAGCGTGTTTATTCCCCCAGCAGCCTGCAGTTTTTCCAGCCCTGTGTCTATTTGTGGCGCCCTGACATGTGCGGCGCGGTGTTCTTTGCAAGCTTGAAGGCTTGTTGAAAAATTAATCGTGTACGCAAAATTTGGCTTTAAATATTAAAACCGACTGGGGGGAAGCGTGAGCCCCCCCCCCCAACCCTGCTCTCAGAGCTGAGCCCTGCGTGGGATGGGATGATGTCCCACAGTGGTGGCTCCCGCTCTGGGGTTTGTGGGGACGGGACCATGACCCCAAAGGAACGTCCAACTGGGGTCCTGGCTGCGCTCTGGGGCTGGGTGGGCTCGGTGCTGGGGGGGAGCTGCCCGTGGGTGAAGCCGCGTGTTCCCTGCCAGGGATCAGGACCATTTGGTTTTTAGAGCATCCCATGTTTGGAGGTCACAGTCCCACGTCACGGGGACCCCACGCCGCAGGATGGCCCGGCCGGCTTCCCAGGGGGCTGCTGGAGGGGCTTTGCTCCCCCCATCCCGGGCTGGGGGCTGTGGGGCTGAGGCCGTGCCGGTGCACGGTGTGGCAGGTGCAGAGAGATGGGGTGCTGGGGCATCCAGCTGGGATGTGAGGTTGGAGTGTGGGGTGCAGGACCGCGCTGGGGGGTGTGTGTAGGGCTGGCTGGGGGGCAGAACTGCCCGTCCTGTCCCTGGTCCCATCCCTGTTCCTGCTCTTCTCTCCAGTCCCATCCCTGGTCCCATCTCCCATCCCTTCCCTGGTCCCATCTCCCGTCCCATCCCTGGTCTTGTCCACATCCCATTCCCTGTCTCTGGTCCCCATCCTCATTCCTGGTCCCATCCCTGGTCCTGTCCCCACTCCCATCCCCATTCATGCCCTTGTCTCCAGTCCTACCCCTGGTCCCCATTCCTGGTCCCATCTCCCATCCCATCCCTGGTCTCATCCACATCCCAATCCCAATCCCCATCCCTGTGCTCA